CAGTAATTGTAACTATATTTAACGGTAGAGTATCTCGAAAATCTTCAAAAATTGAAAGAATGGCTCAAGGGACTTGGAAAGAAGAGTGTTCAAATTTTCAGAATGTAGATTCTAAAGGGATTTTCCGATTCGGCAACAGGTATTTATGATTCAAGGCCAAAAAAATTCAGTCATTTGTTCATGATGTATACTTTAGATAATTTTCTCTTTCCCTCCTGAAAAGTAGAGAGAATTCTAGTCCATTAAACCAGTGGAAATAGATTCAGTCGTAAGCATGACCGAACAAGGAATAAAACAACGTAAAAACTCGAGTAAACATTTAAAATAACAGGATAAGAAATAAAGTATATTTACAGAGATAACCTGTGAAGCTCACTAACAAGACAGCCCAGCGCGAAAGATGATGATGAAATTGTGTTGAGCTCTATTTGGAGAAGTAATTTAGTTTGTTCATCCAGCATATAGTCTGAACGATGTAGTCCTAGACGTATTTCCTAGGTTAAAGGTATATAAAAATCAGGGTACTCTTCGGCACGTAATAACATAATCCATTACCATGTATAGTTTGTAAGCATTTGAAATTAATAACAGAAGTGAATAAGCAAGACTTTTCAAAATCATGATACAGTAAAAATTGAGTGAAAAATCAAAATTGCACTTCACATTGAACATAAATGTTGCATTCTGGGATGCTCGGACTTGTCATTTCGGCCGGAATACCCGTGTCGACACGACACGATATGGGTATGGATGTGAAATATGGGTGGATCCTTTGATTTTCAAGCGGCTATGGCAATTGAAAATAATTATGTCATTTTTAACTTTTACTTTAATTTTGTACTTTTATCATGTAAATTTATGTTTGGGTTAATTTCACAAATGGTCACTGAAGTTACCTGAAAATTTCAAAACGGTCACTGGATTTTCAGATTTTTTGGCCAAGTTTGAGGAAATTATTCGGCAACTTCCGACCACCAAAACAGCTGATTTCGAATACAGTTGGAAAGCCCACGATATCCTCTTCAATTACCACCAAAAATCTCTTCAAAACTCCAAGTGATTCGGCCGGAATAAAGCGACGAATTCGGCAACCGAAAATTGTGAAAATC